CTCTGTCTTTCAGCTCTTAACTCCATGGTACTATCCTGGCAAAACAATCCATAAATCCAGTTCTATAGCAGCAGCACCAGCATGTAACACCACATTCACAAGTCCGTTGCTCTGCAAGCCAACAGCTGCTCTCAGTAGGCAGGGTGTTTTTGTTCAGTGCTACAGAGAAATTACTGTTTTGAAGCTTTATTGACAGGAAAAAAAAAAAAGCCAATCCATAAGCTTTATGTTTCCAGCTGTCTACCACAAATGCATTTGCGTTGCAATGGAAAGCAATGAAAACCCACGTGCACGTGAAGAAAAAAACAAAGTTCCCTCAAAAAATTTGGACTAGGAGGGAAGTTACTTGTTATTCTGAAATAACATACCTTGCAAAGAATCTGCCTTCAGCAAACAATCTGGCTCAGATCAGACAATCACCATTCACAAATATTTCTGTCAGTGTTTTATTAGCACAGCTTTAGAATAAAGCCCTAGCAAAACAAACTCAAGCGTAGCTGAAGAACTAAGTAATGATGTGGCAAATATATAGAATCTCCAAAAATTGTGCTTGCAATTCTGAAATTTTCTTTTGTGTCTCAAGGTAGAACTGTTTCTCCAAACATTACACAATTTTACCCCACATAACAACAGTTTTTCATTCATATCCTCATTGTGAGGTGCAATGTAAAACTTATAGTGGCTCAGTCTTCTACATACATACAATTTAAAGTGGAAGGGGAGGAAAAAGAGAAGATGCTTGAAAATTTTGACACTCTGTTCCACCTATTACTTTTTCCCTCCAAAAACAACAATCTGAAAAATTGAAATGATGCCCCATGGGATCTGCTGGTGATATCACCAGTGGAGTGCTCCCAAAGACATTAGTGCATCTCTTGGAACACTACATGTATTAATTAGTCTTACTAAAACGCAACTTCCAGAAACTGAGATATGAAATGAGAGGTGACTAACAAGTCCTTGGCATTGCACATGGTTGTTTGGGATAATCAGTTACCGGCAATCTTAAAATTATTTTGATGGTTTGGACATTTCAGATCTCATTTTGGCTCCTTGCAGGAAAAGGACATAGCTTGTTTGTTAAAGGTTTATCTTTGAACAAGGTACGTCCTAAAACCACACACCATCAAGTTGGTTCACTCCTTGTTTCACAGTAGTCCCTGGTGGTCTCCGCTGCATACGCACTAGTTCATTCCCAGACTTTTACCTGAGGTAAATGAATTATTTATTTTGTCTGAGAAACCTGAGTGCAGAATATCAGATAGAAGATACTACATATATGAACCACTCCACTGTCCCCAGGGATAAGGGCTCTTCCCCCCAGCCCAAGGACAGCAAAACCAGGTTAGGTTTAACTGCATTTGTCTGGCAATTGGAATTTTAACACTTAACTGGTATGACAAGTTATCAACTCGGGGTATGAAGATCTTCACTTTGTCTTTGGTTTGGTGCACATAGACATGAGAGCCAGGTGTAACCAGAGTAACATTTGAAAGCCAGCTTGCTCTCAGGAGCTTGACTGGTTGCTGAGAAATGAGAAATAAAAATGACCTGAAACACAGATAGGGGTTTGTACAGCATTGCTTTCCCAGGAGTCACAATTGGGTCCATGAGAAATTTCTTAGTTAACCCATCAGACCCTTCTGGATTTTCATACGCCATCTTCTTACATTACAAATTTGCATACAGATTTTGCTGCCAGACCTCAAACCATCCTACATACATGTATTTAAAGCCTGGGATATCAGGCTCCTTGGAAAAATCTTGCTGCTTGACCCCCACTCACTGTAAATTATTTTTAATATCTCTGGTAGGGTATTTATTATTGCATTAGAGGCATAAGTGTCTTATGTCATGTAGCGTTATCTCTCAAAAAAAAAAAAAAAGCCAATCAAAAAAAACATAACCCCAAGCAGCTACCATGTAAGCACAAACTTACCACTCAAATTCTTATTTTTGTCAACACTCACAGTAAGCAATTCTTTTCTTATATGAAACAGACAATTCCCATGTTCTAACTTTTGTCCATCGTCCCTTCTCTTTCTGCTACACACCTCTAAGAAGAGCCTGGCTCCATCTTTTCCAGTATCCCCCATTAGGTATTTGTAGACAGCAGTTCCTGGCCCAACCATTTATCTAAAAGCTCAGTTAAAATTCTGGTTAAATCATACCTTCTTCATCACCCTCTCTCACCAATGAAATAAATCTTCCAAACTATGTATTTCAGCCCATGCCCATGACTATTTTTCTTCACTTTGCACAGACTTCCAATCAATAAACTGACAACATTTTCCAAGGCAAAGCCTTGATGTTGAGGTGCCAAAAGGACACTTTCTTGCAGACCAACTCCTGTGAGTCTTTCGTACAAAATACATCACAAACAAGGTGATCTAGATGCTTTTGCACATTACAATTTGATGTGCTGGGCAACAGCTCAATTTAAGAAATTAACAGACAATTCCAACAGGTAGTCTGCTAATAAACATAATATTTGTCATTTAATGCTGCAAGATGCTAAGGGTAATAAGGAATCTCACAAGACCTCCTCAGGTTTGTTTGTTTGGTTTTTTTTTTTCCCAACCTTCTTCCTTCTGATTACACACTTGTATACTATACCTATTCAATTCTGCCACAATACACCCCAAGCTCCAGCCTCACATTTTGCAGACTCCTTGGCATTATCAGTTGTTACTACCATTTTAGATTCTATGCAATATCATACTGATTTCTACCACATGAAGGCACCCAAACTCCAGAGAATTCCTTTGATCTTTTCCAAGAACAACCAGAAGCTATCTTTTTGTATTTATCACTCTCATGTTGCTGCTTCCGTAAAGATATAATCCTCAGAATTAAAGTCTGCAGTATCTTTCACATGAATAGGCAAAATCAATCATGGGATTAAAAAGCAGGGCAAATTTCACAACTATATCAAGCAGTACAAGTGCTACACATAATCTCTAAGGGGACCAGAGCTAAAAAGATACAGAACACAAGCAAACAACATACCTGTTGCTTCATGCAGTGGCTGTAGGAGTTATTAAAATGATGTTTGCAGCTACAGCAGCTGGCTGGTCTCATGTTACCTCAATTCTTTGGACGTATTTATTCCCATTGTTCACTGTAGCAACATCTGCATTGTTTTAATTCTCCATTATGCTCAGTAATGTAATTTTTGTACATCTGCTATCGTATTCTGAGTTTTAATAAACTGGTCTTCTCCTTGATCCTCTCATCATGTTTCATCAGTCCCTGAACCTACCCTAAACCCTACAATACCAAGCAATTTGCTTCTACAATCCTTGTAAAGCAAGTTTCACTAAAACCTCCAGCTGTTGAACTAACGTTACTAATGTAGAACTAAAATCTCCACACCTGGAGATCTTGCACTGGCACTACTGGGAATCTCACCAAACTGAAAACACTTAAGGAATTTGTACACAGCCATTCTTTTGACTTCAAACATCTTTGAAACTCTCTGTGACCATACACTATCCTCCAGATCGATGTCAAAATTTGCTGTTCATGCCTGTCTCCTTCACAACGTAGTTCTACACATGGCTAAACACAGTAGAAATATCTTAATGTAATTTTTAAAAACAAAATTCCACTTCATCAATGTGTGCATTTCTTCTTTTTAATTAATGGCCACTTACTGGCAGGATAAACCAGAAATGCTGCAAGACATCTACAGAAATACCCTAAGCATGGGCAAGAGCCTAGCTCTTAAAAATCAAGCAGACAGAACCTTTTTTCTTTCCCTTGGAGCCACCTTTCATGTTAGGGCAATAAAAAAACTCCACGCAATATCCCTAAAACCTATTTGCACGGAACATTAGAAAAGAGGGCTGTGAGAAGAGCAGGATGTGGACACACCTAATTGCTTTAAGTCTGAATTTTCCATGAGATCGCACAAGATCGCACACTACAGCCACTTGGAGTTTTCCTTCTGCGTCGATTTGTGAGTCAGCTACCTAAGCAGCAATGCTAAGAGAGTATCTGTGAGGTCTGGGCAGTCCCAAAAGCTAGATGTCTTACAGTTGCTAGAATATTTTACATTAAGTTCATGGTTTAAGAGGAGCAAGCATTGATCATTTTCTGCTTTTAAAAAGACCTATTTTCTCTGCACCCAGAACTGACCACCCAAAACCTCTGCGGGGCACCTCGAAGCCCCTTGGAAACTCCCCTGCACCCATGAAGGCCACAGCCACACACAAAGCCATGCTAATGCCAAAAAAGGCCAGCAAACTGCACTCCAAGCCAATAAACACAAGCACAGTCCTGCTCTCACATGTGCCATGAGCGAAGGCTCCCATCTGTCTCCATGCCTTACTCACAGCCCATATGGAGAGACATTCTTAATCCCAAGGGTCAAATTTTCAGGAAGGGCCCATCCCTTCCCTTGAACTTTTCCCTCCCACCCCGTGCGCGCTAGGCAGCCACAGCAGATAGGAGGGGGCTAAACGCGAACGGAAATAAAAGGCCAGAGCTACGGGAGTCTAGGGAGTGCTCCGTACTTGCTTGGCGCTTTACCACATTTACCTCAGGAGCAGCATCCCAAACAAAAAGGGCTGAGGTAATTTGAAAGTAAAAACCGCCTTCCACCTCATTTCCCAGTTAGAAACGAGAAGCCAGCTTTAAAAAAAAAAAAAAAAAAAAAAAAAAAAAAGGCTTTAAGGGGAGGGAGAGCCGCCCGGGCAGCCGCCGGCCCCTGACAGAGCCCACAAGCCCCCCCACCCCCAACGGCCACCGGGGCTCGAGCCGCAGCCCCTTCCCGCCGACACCGCCTCAGCCAATCAGCGCCAAGATCGCTTTTTTTTAAAAAACAAAAAGCCCGCCTCTCCGACGCTGTTCACCAATCAGAAGGCTCCTCTTCAGAAGCCGCAGGCTGCTTTCCACGCATGCGGCGGATACCGGCTTTCCATTGGCCGGGAGGCAGGAAGGGTTCGGCCAATGAGGTGGCTCGGTTGGGTGGGGCCGATTCAAACCGGGAGCGGCGGGGGAGCCGCGTCATGGCGGGGCCGGGGTCGCCTCAGGCCGGCGGGCAGAGCGGGTTGCGGTTCCCGCCGCAGCCCTCCGCGATGCGAGCGGACGACTTTGCCTCCTCAGACGAAGACGCCGCTGAGGAGGACGTGCGGCCGCTCTGCATCTCCTGGTGAGCCGCGCCGCCGGGCGGGCGTTTGCCTTCGATCCCTTAAAAACGGGAGCGTGTGGCCTGAGGGAAAGCCGCGCCGGGCCCTGGTGACCTGGCAGAGGTGGCGCTGGGCCGGGCGGTGGCCCTGGGAAGGGATTGCGCCGGTGCTGGCGAGCTGTGGGTGGATGTGGCTTTTGGGAAGCGTTTACTAGTCACTGGCCGTCGTGCTAGCCCAAATGTCCGAGGCTTTCCGTCCCCCTCTTGGGCAGGGGTATGTGAGGAAGTACACTGCCAAACGTGTGATTCCTTTGCCTGATGTAGGAACAACGCTAGAATACTTCCATTTTATTTTTAAAATTCAATTATAGGTAGGTAATTCTTCTCGTGGTCCCACAGAAAATGTATGTCTAGTAGCAAGTTATCTCTAGTTAAATAATTAAAATGTTCTGTCGGAATTTTTTAAATTTTATTTTATTTTCTATTTTCTGATAGGTTGTCTTTGTCTCCTGTCTACTCTTCTGAGTTCCTGGGATTATGTTCCCTTCCAGGTAAGAAGCATTCGCCGAAATTTGCAGGCATGTTTGAAGGTGAATAGAGGTAATACCTTGTAACCCAAAATTCCTTGTTGCATTTACTTGGGGTGGCTTGTTTTGTAATCTACCGTTGGAATAATTGTTTTGGAAATACCAAATATAATCTAGAGAATATTTTAACACAAGACATGGCAGAGTGGTAAGAGAATAGTGGCCATTTTCCATTGTCTGTTAAGATATTTGGCTTTTTAGCCTGGTTTACTATTTATAACAAGCGACAACAGTGAGACAAGGCTGTTTTGACAAATAATTCCTTTGTAAGATATACTGGGCTCAAATTACACTCAGTCGTTGTGCTGACAGTTCTACAGTCCTCTCCCTTAATGTTTGGGTTGCACTACCATGGCCATGTTATAAAAATAAACATGCAAGTTTTCACTGTATTTTTAACTACCAAAACTGCAGCCCTGGTGAATCTCCTTTGGTCACAGAACAGATAGAAATGCTGGTGGTGAGAATGTGAATTTTCCCTTCTTCATTTAAATCAGTTATTTGACTTTTATTAGCCAACTCTGAGAAATACAATCTTGGGACTAATACCACGTTAAAGAACTGGAGAACAAATGTTGAATAATATTTGAATTTAAGGTATCTTGAAGTGGATGATGGCCTGTGTTGCTGGAAATCCCACTAATATTTGAAAGCCACTGAACATGTAGATGCCAAAAAATAGCTGCGTTATGGTTTTTAGCTACCTGAGGTGTTTGTGTAACAGCTGTTTGATTTTCAGACTCTAACCTCCAGTCATAGCCCTGCTGAGACACCTCTTGGTCTCCAGGGTTCTGCTGCCAGGCTTGCAAAAGGTGTTTCAAGATATGCACAACCCTGACTGTTGTCAAGGCAGGCATCAAGGTTGTGTGCCCATGGGGCTGTGAGTCAAGGAGGGGAGACAGAGGGAGGACACGGTGCAAATGTTTTGAGCAATTGCATCTCACAAAACAAACAATAGCTGTGAACATTGCAGCGCAGTATTCTGAAGGGGTTGCACAAACGGCTTGGTAGCATGATATGCGGAAAAAATTGAATTGGTGATATGCTGAAGATTGAATAGTAAGGAGGATTCTTAATGGGATTTGTGCTGAGTATTGCAGAACAGGGAACTTGCTTTCCTACCAGTCAACTCTTAAGTAATCTCTATCCAGCCCTTTTATTGGGGGGGGGGGGGGGGGGGGGGGAGGGCGTTGTTTTGTGATTTGGGGAGGGAAGCTGTATTCTCATTTGTAATATCCAAAACTTTTCATCTGGGAAAACATAGTAGCTTAAAACCTTGCACAGATTTTTTTTTTTTTTTAAATCCTATTACATTACAGTGTTAAGCAGATAATGGTGTTTAAACCGTCTTCTGTGCTAGTGATCTATTTGCAAAAATAGAACTGTTTTATTTGGGGTGGTACTTTGTTTCTTGGGTTTTGGTGGGAGGTTGTCTGTGCTCTATTCTTCACCTGCAGTAGTCATTCCATAAATGTCACTTACCTGGAGTGGTAATTTTCATTCATCATTTGTTTTAGGTTGCAGGTTTAAGGACGTTAGAAGAAATCTTCAGAAAGATATAGGTGAGTCTTCTGGCCAGTGTATAAATGCCTCTCACTCCCATATCATGGACAAGAACAACGTGCCTGTAAACTGAAAGCCTAAATTACTGAGAAGCTAGAGGTTTACTTTGTCTTAGCCTGGAGACTGCAGGAGCTGCTGTTTATCTAACCTGGGCACAAGGATCCAGACACCAGGGGTCTAAAATGGTGGTGGTTTACTTATACTTTTATACAAATATTGAATAAGTAGCCAGGGTATTTCCAGCCTCTGCATATCTTTCACAGCAACCACGAGGTCTGCTGAGGCACTTACAGGAGCAGGTGTCTTCAAAGCAGCTAGGATCAAGATGAATTACAAACCTGTGTTGTGGTTCAACCCCAGCCAGCAGCTGAGCACCACGCAGCCGTTCGCTCCCTGCTCCCAGTGGGATGGGGAGGGGAAGAGGGGGGGGGAAAAGTAAAACTCATGGGTTTAGATAAGAATGGTTTAATAACTAAAATAAAATAGAGTAATAACAATAATAAAATGTAATCATATTTGTAATGAAAAGGAACATAATTTAAAAAAGAGCAATAAAACTCAAAAGACAAGAGATATACAACACAGTTGCTCACTGCCCACGGATGGGTGCCCAGCCGGTCCCGGAGCAGCAATCCACTCCCCAGTTTCTAGACTGAGCAGGATGTTCTATGGTATGGAATATCCCTCTGGCTGGTTTGGGTCAGGTCTCCTGGTCCTGCTGCCTCCCAGCTTCTTGTGCACCTGCTTGCTGGCAGAGCATGGGAAATGGAAAAATCCTTAACTCAGGATAAACGCTACTTAGCAACAACCAAAACATCAGTGAGTTATCAACATTATTCTCACACTAAATCCAAAACACAGCAGTGTACCAGCTACCTGGAAGAAAATTAATTATCCCAGCCGATACCAAGGCACTTGTAATCTCCTCTTCCCAGAGAAAAGTGAGATTGGGAAAGAAAAGATGAAATCATGTAAAGTTTTGTGCCTGGTATTCATCTGCAAACACTAGCAGAGCAGGAACTAATAGGAAAACCCCAGGGTGTGGGCATAGCCTCGGCTGGAGATGGGACGGAATCACGCTTACGCTGGCAGCAGTTACCAGACTGTCCTGAGTGTGGACGTGCTTGCCAGTGAGGCTTGTCTCCAGACTCATTCTGAACCGAGAAAATTCCTTGCAGGGGTTACCTGAAGGCAGGTGTGGGAGAGACTTGGTAGAAGTCAATGCTGCTCAAAGCAAACCTGCTAACTCCTGTTGTCTTAACCTCAAAGATTAAACAAGAGAATCAGTGCCAAGTAGCTTATCTGTTTATCCTTAAGCTTCATAGGCTTTTGTTTATTTGCAAGTGTCTTAATCTCTTGGCAGAAGAACTAAAGAACTGTGGGACCCAGGATATATTTGTGCTTTGTACCAGAGGAGAGCTCTTAAAATACCGAGTACCAAACCTCATAGACGCCTACCAGCAGCATGGGATCTGTGTGCACCACTATCCTATTCCCGACGGGGACGCTCCTGACATTGCCAAGTGCTGCAAAATTCTGGAAGAGCTCAGAAGCTGCCTGGAAAGTAACCGGAAAACAATCATACAGTAGGTTCTGGTTGCCTCCCTTTCGCCCCACATTCCTGTAACAGATACCAGCTTCCCTCCAGCTGCATGACCAGCTGAAAGAGAATCCTGTCAAATGACACTTGCGTTCTTTAGGGCTAGTTCCAGCTGTGAAAAGCTGCTTGTTTCTCCTCCTGCACCTTTTTGGAGCTAACTTGTTCTTTGTAAGATTTGAATCTCCCGTTTCCCCTTGTTCTGTCCAGCAAGCGCTTCAAAGCGGCGCCATATGACTCCTTGCTGCTAGCCTGGTTGGATATCGGGTATACAACATGGGCTGTAAGCTAAAGCAGCTGTTGTCAGAGGATAATGCACTCCGGGGCTGTTTATCAGGAACTCGGGGTTCCAGCAGTGCAGAATTTACTCTGAAATTGCATGAACCTGGTTTAAAGTAATTTTTTCAGACACTTGTAGCTGAGCTCAGGGTAGAGGGAAAGAGCTTTCCGAGTGCCATGTTCCCTGAGTGATCCTGCTGACAGCTCCCTGCACAGACGTCCGCTGAGTCCTTGGGCTCCTTGCTGATGCAGAACCCTCCTGCTATCATTGGCTCACAACCATCATCAAAGCCTTAATCTGGACTAGGATTTAAAGAAAATTAGATTGTCTGTCTTCGTGCCCTTTTCTGTCCTCTTGTGCCTTTGGAACCCTTACCGTGAATGAAGGGGAACTTTAAAATTGCAGTTTCTCTAGAAAGACACTACTTAAGGAAAGTCTGAAGAATAAGTGGGAGATAAGCCTTGTAGGTATTTCTATAGAAATTCTTATTTTAACTTGCTTGTACCCCTGCTCCTCTCGACTATATTAAGGCAAGAATTGTGTCTGTATATTTAGGTACTGAGGGGGCTCTGGGTGTTGCAGTGTACTACAGCTTGTTACAGCCAAACCTTCTCTTCTCTTGCAGCTGTTATGGTGGCCTCGGACGCTCGTGTCTCGGTAAGCAGTTGCCTTCCCCCTCTCAGTGCTTGATTACCTAACCCATCCTACAAAGCCGTTCTCATGAGACAGCACTGTCCAAATTCTTGGGAAAGGTGGTGTCAAATGGTAGTGACGTTAGCTGCTTGTATAGACACTGTGGTGACCGACATCCGTATGTCGTGGTACAGCTCTGAGTGTGTAAGTGAGGGGCTGGGGAGTCAGACAGGGACAGTCTTCCAGTGAGGCTGATAGAATGTTCTCTCTTTTCCTCAGTTTTCATGGCAAATTTTAGTCTCGTCTGATTAATGAGATTGCACTTTCCCCTCTTCCCTGAACATCTCAAAAAAAGGAGGTTAACCTATTTCTCTGCATCTTTCTTTGCCCCAGTGTTCCCCCTAAAGATTTCAGGGGTGGTTGTTGTGTGTGGCCCAGAAGGAATGGGTAGTGGTACTGCCAAAAAAAGCAAAAGTGGATTTAACTGAGTGTAGTGTGACTCGTTCTTGGAAAGACTTGAGCATTTGCCTCCCAAATGCTGCTAGAAAGGCAGGGGGGGAAAAAGCGGGAGGGTTTTCACCAGTTTCCAAAGCCTGCAGGAGCAGCAGGCAGCTGTGGCCAGTGCCACCAAGGAGTGTTCGGCAAAAGATCCGACAGATCTGTGACCCCGACCTGGCGAGGTTGAGTTTTGCTGGAGTGTGGTGTTCACAGAACAAACCTACTGCTGTGCAAAAGTGGTGCCGCCTAGGGCAGGAGGTGCTGAGGAGCACACGTGTGTGTACACCTTTCCCTTGCAGTAGCTGCGTGTCTCCTGCTTCAGCTTTTGGATGCGCTGGCGCCTCAGCAGGTGATAGACAGCCTCAGAAACCTGAGAGGATCGGGGGCGATACAGACCATCAAGGTAAGGAGGCCACAGCAGGTAACACACGTGTCGAAACAAGGGCAGAGAGCTCGGGCAGCCTGCTTCCGTGCTGATTCTGCCCTGGCCTGCCTCTACTGAATTCAGCAGCTGGTCTCCTCTCTGCTCTTCACCATCATTAGGAACTTGTTGCTTTCTCCTTACCCCTGCTCTTCACTCGTTAAGCTACCGTCCATTTTTCTGTTGCTCACATTCACTTCACAACTTGGACATCTGCTTGGCTTTTTCTGCTTTGGTTTTGTTCCACCTTCCTGACCCAGCTAGCCGTGGTCCTCTGTAGCTGTCACATCAGCATACCAGCAGTCTTCTTTTAAGAAGTATCCCTAGCACTAGTGTTAAAACCTACATGGAGGGAGGCCTAAGCTGCTGAACATGTTTTTCTTCTTTTGGTGGGATTTTTAGCTACTCTGTGTACATATTTCTGTCCTAGAAACATGAGTCCTAGATGTTATGCTCTTAAAAGAGTTCTATGTACAGGAAAGAGGAGCTGACATTTTAAAAGTTTACAAGACAGTAGTGTCTGAGGAGAAAGAGTTGCGTAAAGACTGACTCTTTGTTAGCTCTAAGCCTCTCTGGAAGGAGAATCTTGTTCCAACTAAGTGTTGAAAATCAGTTTTCCACAAACCAAGGGGGCAGATGGGGAGCAGCTTGCACCCCTAGCTGAAAAGGCAGGGAAGGATACGCACAAATGCTGTAACTGGAAGCCTTCACGGCCACTGGGGATGGTTGATCCGTCCTTTAGCTTATGATGACCAACATTTTTACCTCATTCTGAACACTTGCGTGTTTGTACTCCACACAACATGTGAACTGACTTAAAAACTCTTACTATAAACTGTTGTACGTCGTCATACTAGCTAAAGGCTGTGTCCTGCGTCAGGGGTTCACGATGGAGAGATTCATACTCCTGGTGACCCAAATAAAGCAGCTCAGAGTTTTGCCGTGAAGCTCCCACCTACTGAGGACCACGTTTAGTGTTACCTCGAGCTCCCGCGTGCCCTTTACGAGGAACCACAGGAGCCAAGCCAGGAGACATGTAATATGTTTCTGACAGTGAAAATTCCCAGAGGATTTGGAGTAAGCGCAAGAAGAAATAAACAGCCTACAGGGTGCAGTTTTCTCCCTGGGGTATCAAAGAGCTTTTTAAGATGGGTAAGTGCCTTTTCTAAAAGTGTAAGAGCGCTCTTTACAAATCCGGTTGTGCTTTTTTCAGCAATACAATTACCTCCATGACTTTCGAGAGAACCTGGCTGCCCACCTGGCAACAAAGGATGCAATATTAAGATCGGTATCACGATAACTGAGGCTGGTGTGGTGGAGCTTTGTGTCTGTGGCAGACACCCGGACAGACATCTCACTCCCGACTTTCTCCTCGCTCCTGCCTGGGTGACGCAGCTGCTTCCAAATCCGCCTGTAAAGTGTTGGGGTGGGGGGAAGGAAATCCTGCAGGACGTGCAGCATCTTCCTCTGCTTGGCAGGCTTTAATACATGCTGCCTTAAAAACGCACGGTGGGTATATTTGTCTTTGTTACTGTTCTGCTGGCGGCTTAATGAGCTTGTTTTCAATACAAGGATGACTCTTGCGCCGTGTCCTCCTCACGTTTCACAGCGCCTGGGGCTGGCAGCCTGTGCATCTGCTGCCACTGAACCGGTGGGCTGGTGTTGTCACGTCGGTGTGCTACGAGCTGCTCCAGTGACCTTCCCGAGCGGGAGGGAAGCCGGGCTGCCAGGGCAGCGGCTGCATTTCAGTTTGTCTTCGTCTCTGTTCTCCGTGGCTGAGAACCGGGACGAGCGATCGGCCACAAAGGATCCGTGAGGAAACGGAATAGTCTGTAACTCCTCACACCCGGGTGCAGACAGGCTGGCTTCTGCTCCAGCGTGCAGGGGAAGGCAAAGAGGGAGAGGTGAAGGGTAACTCTGCTGCCTTTGTAAGAGAGTCTTGCTGGGATAATGCAGCTAGATAAAAACCAGATTGCTGGAGCTGTTTTAAAAAAAAAAAAAAATAAAAAATCCTCAGCTCTAGCTTTAAACCGCAGGGAAGTCAAGCATGAAAATTTTCCTGCTGGAGTGCTTGCCCCTTACAAACTAGTAAAAACTCATTTTAAAATGTCACGGTTCTCATCTTAGTGTGATCAGGGATATTTAGGAATGAGAGCCCTCGTTCCAAAAGGAGGAGGAGGTCTTATACCGAAGATTGTGACAAAACAAGCAGGTGGGGGTGGGGTTTAATACAAATATGGTACAAAGAGACGCTGTGCTGGAGCTGTGTGGGTGAGATTTTTGGCTGGGCCCTTGGGCATGCGAACACTAGAGAAAGTAAATCACTGTGCCTGTGCCAGTGACCAGCCCTCCTCTTTAACTAGACAAAGGGCAGAGAAGATGAAGAGACTCCTCAAGAAAATATTTGAACTAGTTCTGTCCCGTTCTGAGGAAGCGATGCTCGTCCACCCCAGGGCCCGGGTATCCCCTGACGCCCTGGGAGGAGGTTTGGGCTCTGGGAACAAACCCGGGGCAGCCAGGCCGTGCCTTTCCCCGTGACACCGGCCCCGGCAGCCGAGGAGCTGCTGCCTCGGGGCTGAGGTCGCTGCGCGGTTGCTGCCCGGCTGCCCTGCCTTGCCCCCATCTCCCCTTCCCTCCTAGTTAATTCTGGAAGTGCTTTCCCCCAACCCCCCACACCCCCCCCCAAAGTGCTTCAAGAATCCAGCTGGTTACAGCTCCAACACATCGTTTGAACCCAGGCACGTGAATGCATGTCTAAAGGTGATTTTTACAGATTGTATTTAATTTGCTTTTACTGCCATTCCCTTCTCCACCTCGAAGGCAGACAACAGGAACTCCTCCCGTTTCCACAGCATAGCATCGCTTACAGAAAATATTTTGCTCAAAAAGTGCCCATCTGTCCCTTTGTCAGTACTGAACCCTTGCAGCTGCTGGCTTGCAGATGTATCCGATGGCTTTTTAAGATGGCTGAGCAGGAAATTTGCTGACCGAGAGAAACGTTCTTTATTTTCTCCATCATCTTTTGCCTCCTGGAACTCCCAAAATCAAGGCCAGGTCCACCTTCTGAATGCGAAATGGCTGCTACTCCAGCTAGGCGTCCCGCGTGCTGCTCCACACACACCAGTTGCTTTCACAAGGATTTATTCCAGTAAAACTCAGCTGTGAGGCTCGCGTCGCCAGGCACCCAACGTTCACACCACCCAGCAGCTGGGTGGCTGCTGGTAGACACGAACCTCGTTCGAAAAATAAAAAGGCTGAGTCCAGTTTCTAAAGAGCGTTCTCTGAAGGACTCTGCTGGGTAATCCTCACACTTCAACACACCGGGTTCTCATCAGATTTTTCAACTTCTAACTTGCATTTGTGACCTTTCTCTGCAATGTTTTGACAGTTTAAAGACCTCTGAAATGACATTACTTAAATTGTGCTAAGTATTCCTGGCTGAAGCGGCTCCACAGCTGGCGAGGGGCTTCAGAAGAAGAAGGGGGTGTCAGGTTTTTTTTCAGTTGAACTCAGTAAATCTCATGTTGTTTATTCTAGTGTACAACTTGTCTTAAATCAGCCCAAGGGAAGGAGAGGTTTGTTTAGAAGGCTGAGGAAAGCTTGGGGCTATGAGCCAGGAAGCCTCATTTCTGTAACGGATTAATAAACATACAAACATAAGGAAGGGTTAATTAGTTTTGCATCCCGAGGCAGAATTCCTATCTTACAGCAAGCAGTCTCTGAAGTCGAACAGCAGGAAAATAAAAATAATCCAACAGGAGCAACGTTCCCAAGTTTCCAAAAAGCCTTTCAAAAATTCTGCTGAAAGCAGAAAGTTATTATTGCAGGAAAAAATCCTCTTGTCAGCTAAGAACTGATCGCAAGGGCCGGCAGAATAGGAACAACGTGTCTCTGGTGAGGGGGGGGCAACGCCTGCAAGTGTTTTGGGACAGTCAGGGGAGGGGGAAATAAATCTCAGAGTGCTCAATGCTTGAGCAAGGATGGTGTGTGGAATTACATGTCAATAACTGCAAAGAAAAAACACGTGAGAAAAACAATTTTCTATACGTAGTAATAAGGTGGCAGGTAGGGTTACTTAGGAAAGAGAATTTGAAGTTGCCTGAATTCTCATACCCCCGGTACACTATGAAATGAGAGGAATTCAGAAGCAGAGAGCAGGAAACTGCCACTCTAAATCCCCTGAGCACCCCCGTCCCACGTGATGACAACGGTTCTGGTCTCCTCCAGCTTAGGGAAGGAACACTTGTGGAGGAGAAAGGCTAAGCACAGAGCTACGGCAGGCCTCAAAGATTAAACAGATTTCTTCGCTTTGACAGATGAAGTGATGAAGGTCTGTTCAATCATGCCCAGCATAAATAAGGTGGAAAGGGGGAAATTTTTAATATGCCTCAAAAAAATAAAAGCTTAGAGGCACCAAAGCCCAGCTGAACTTTTAAACGAGTATTTTTTACATCCTGAGTAATTCCATTGCAAAACTCACTGCCGCACGGTACCTTCCATCCCAGGCTCCGAAAGCGCTCGAAAGGCACCTGAATTCATGGAAATAAAAATGATTCAAGGGCTGTTTAAGATGCCGAACGCCTGGCTCAGGACATCAGAGGCAGGTTTCCCAACACGTTCTCCCACTAGCCAGGCAGATGCTCACCACCTGCCCTGCTTCACATCCTTCTCCTCAGCCCTTGCCGCTGCCCAGCGCCCCGGTGCGGGAGCATCTGCATTTCTGGGGGAAGCCAGAGCAGCCCCTCGTACGACATTCATCGCACCTAACGCCCCAGAGACCCGCAGTGAACAAATAAACAGTTTATACAAAAAACGTTTTACTAGAACTCAAGAAACTATTCATTAGTCTCCAGCACAGGAAAATGAAAAAGATTCCTAATTATTACTCCTAAATTAAGCAGCTCTTCGCAGTCACGATTTACAATGCAGTATTATCAGTTTAGCTGAAACATTTTCCCCCCGCCCCATCTACTATTTATCTGCAGACCCATGAAAAGAAGAAAAAAAAAAAGTAGGAAATCAGAGCTTCCCTTTTCCAGACATAACTTGATTGTGTTCTAGTTTTAAAAGGTAATGCAGTCATCCGTCATAAAACAAACAGATGAATACAGCAAGTATCTGTTCAATTTAAAAACAAAACAAGGCACCAGGTAAAATTAAGTGGTTTTGAATTTAAGATTTTTTTTTTTTTTTTTATTGCACTAAGGAACAGCAAGGCAGTTTCACAATCTCACTTTCTGCTTTGAAAAGGTCTGTAGTATTACTCTTAAACTCAAGAGTATTTTCAACATTGGACCTGATAAATGTAGGTTTGTCCACTTCTTCATAAAACGGCACAGACATTAAAAGGAAAAAAAAAAAAAAAAAAAATCATAATTTAAATTCACTCCTTTGTGGACAATTCAACTTCTCCTATCACAATGACAGATGCTTGAGATTAAAGCGAGGGTGACAGTGGTGAAAATACAGGAGTCTCTGAACCATGCATATACAGGGGAAGATTAATCAGATAGAAAAAAATAAAACCAAAATAGAGCTCCGATTTTTGCAATTGTGTCCACGAAGTCATCTCTTAAGACCAACGTCGCCTACAGGTACAACCCAGGGCACTTCCAGTCCTTCCCCAGCACTCGGCAGCTACAGCGGATTTACAGCTAGAGGGGGATCGGCGCGTCCCGAGGAGCGGCCACGAAGCCCAGCCTACAAATCCCCAGTGAACTACGGCTAGCCAGAAACAAATACCTACTTGAGGATTATGGCTGTTCCTTGTGGAGTGCAAAGTCAAAACTTTTCAAAACCCGGTAACCTTTATATTAATGTACACGTAATTCTTTAATTTCAGTGTCCCGGCGAAATGTAAGAAAACAGTCTTTCCACAAGTATAAAATGTGGAAATATTTTAAAAATAGGGGAGTCGTCGTTTTCTACTGCAAATGCGATCATCAGGTTCCGTATTTAATCTTGGTAAGAGGTTCTCGTTGTAAAGAATCCATGTTTTGTGGCTTTTGCATGCACTTAACTGGAATGAAGCTTGCTGGATGTCTTCTTAAGAGCTCACCAGAACATAAATCATGCTGGAAAAGAAAAGAAAAATATTAAGATGCACCATCGTGAACAGCGTTATACATTTAATTATACAGCCGTGTATTCTACAGAGCAAATCCGCGCGAGGTAAGATGGGTTGTGACTGAAGATTTTACACCAAACACATCGGAAGGGCGCACAGAGCACGCCGTGAGCTGTCCCTGCACCACGCGAGGCTCTCGCAGGGGCCCCGTGCCCAGCCCGAGCCATCGCGGCCGTGCCTGAAGCGGAGGAGGAACCGGGCTGCAGCACCGGGTTTTGTGCCTCCCACACCCCCTTTTCACTCTTGGAATGACTCTTCTACTGACTTCAACAACAACAAAAAAAAAAAAAAAAAAAAAAATCACATTTACATCAAAATACCTACTTCATCATGACTGTTCCAGCTTCTTAATGAAAATACTGGGGGGAGGTATATTATATTACATTACATTATATTATGCTTAAAAAACTAAAAGCTTGGAGCTTTCAAGCCTCCAGTCATGGTATACAGATTCAAAATAGTAATTACAACCAAATTAAGGCTTGTGGTTTAAAACAGAAGGAAGGATGATTGTGGATTCTTCTTCAGGGAAGCCGGCACTATATCTGTTCCTATATACAAAATTTCTCTTGTGCGCAGAGCCAAAATTTCAGACCAAAGCTTAAATGGGAGACGGAGGAAAACAACTTACCCATATAGGTAGTAAAAAAATGATAGAAGGTAGAATGCTAATTTGCACCATCCTTCTTTCTGGCAATAGGCTAAAATATCTGCATTCATGATGGTTGTAGGATCGTACAGCCCAGGGCCACTCATCACGGGTCTACTCATGTACCTGGAAGCGATGCACAGTTAGGTTTCAGGTGATGGGAAGCATTGGTTCCTGCCCCCCACCCACCAAGTAACACCGGAACCGAAACAGGGAATCGCCCCCCCGGCAGCCGAGTCCATCAGCTCCGCGTAGGAGGCGGCGAACTGCGAGAGCACCGCGAGGCTCCCAACCAGACGTGCCGGCGGAGGAGCTTCCACAGACTGTGCCACGACAGCTCACCTCAGCCTGAAAGCACGCTGAACGCCGGCGCACCAGGAGGAAACAGGGCAAATTTCTAAGTGAAGAAACGGGATCCCTTACGAAAGGGTTGGAAAAGCTGGAGAAGAGACCAACGCATAACCCTGCGTAACCTAGAGCCTCTCCTCACTAACGACACGTGCTGGAGGAATACTCACACGGGTCAAAACAAAAATCATAGTTTAACGCAGGCAACTAGCCAAAGGACCAGTCCACCCCTCTGACTGACAGATACAGCCCCGCAGTTAAGGCTGGATTTACTGGGTTACGTTTCAACCAGAGCAGCTCCCTGCACAGGACCAGCACCAGCACCAGGAGAGGCGGTGCCCGTGCCTCACTGGCAGGAGGAAAGCGGGACTGTGGCTTCTGCTGGCAGTTCCCATGTAATGAGAACTGTGAACCCCCAGCAGCACGCCTTCCACACGTCAGCTGCCCTTAGCGCGCACACAACGCAACCCCACTCTTGCCTAGCACACGAGAACGACAGGTCAAAGTGACAGAGAAAGCAAAGTGATGGTTCTTGTTTTATAGCCATGACGTAAGCTTTCTCAGTGCCATCTCAGAAAGCATCTTTATTTGCCAAAGACACAGAACACTTCACAGGAAGCACTGCAACGGGAGAATGAGTAACAATTAACGTGAGTACAGAGATACCAGACTCGTGAATATTACCTCCAAATATGATAAGCCAACAAAGGCATATTGAGACCCAGTGTAAGCCACTCTGCTGCACAGAGAAACATAACACAGAAGAATGCATGGATGAGGTACTCTGGAAGTACAAGCTGGAAAAGAAAAATACAAGTTAGAAGTTTCAGTTACTCAAAGCAAAATGTGTGGTGTTTAATCTATTTTGGAGGTAAGGTATTGTTTAAAAAAATATTATTAAAAACAACACTAACAAGAACAAGACTGCAGAAAGTGAAAACAGCAACCAGCGGTACATGCCTTGCTGTTTTCACATTATATTCATGAACCAAGAGGAAAAATTTGTAAAAATGAAATGCTCAGATTAATTTTTTTTTTTTATTGCTTCTATGAAGTGCACTGTTAACAGATTCCACGCTTTATACAAGACCTTCATAACAGAATAGATCATCGAGATATTTCTGCTCATGCAACAGAGAAATATCAGTAGGAAACATGCTCCATAAAACAGTGTATAGGCAAAAAGACGTTTGGTGTTTTCCTAATTTTACCGCTTTGGTTTGGTATTCACACAGCCGTAATTTTTCCAGTCCGTAAGGCAGCCCCCGGGGCAGAGCTCTACCAGCCCAGGGCGGCAGCAGCGGGGGCGGGGGGCGCGCCCAGGGGCGAGCTGTGCTGCCCGCAGCGCGGGGGGCACGGCAGCGGCCACCCACCCGCTGCTTATTAGCCAGCTTCGTTTTCCTTCCCAAGTACCTGACGTGCATGCTTTAATCCCATCCTGCTGCCCAGCAGAAGCTCACAGAGCTGATTGCCAGTTTACTACGAGATCGCAGGAAGCGTGAAATGCCAGGTAGCGTTAGCATTATTAATAGGAATCGCATGGAGAGATACACGGATTAAATGCATGCAAAGAGCCAGCAAGATCTCACGCCCGCCACGAGAGTTAACTCTTGCTATAAAACAAGTCACCCCAAAGCGGCATCATTTACTCCTTTATCACAGAGTCTGGAAGCAGATCAGTAAGCTTCTGGCTCCTCACCTCAGGACCACTAAAACATCTCACCAAAAACACTCCATTTCTCCCCAAAGATTTCACTAGTCTGTGTGTGCGCGCACATACGCACACACCCCCCGCACCCCACTCTCCTTTTTTTTGTGCAATATGACTGACATTGCACAGGATGACTACACTGACCTTTCAATCATTTTTTTAGTTCTAAGCAGTCACTTCTTTTAAACCCCCAAAATACCTTCCTAGAAATCTAAAAACTACCAACAGACAGACATTCTCACCACCAGTATTTATTGCTACAACGTTCTGCTTCTCTAAATGAAGAATACCAAACAAAGCAAAAGATCAACAAAAAGAAGCTGTCATACATGCAACGTTCCAAGTAAATATTTTCATCCAGATCCTTCTTTGTACACTTACCATTTACAACTTGGCGATTATTTATAGCAGAACAACCACCCCCCTACCCGAAACACAAAGCATTTGGCTGACTGCCGAGACAGATTTACCGGGTCTGAAAATCTACACACCTCAAAACACGTTTTTCTCTATCTTGTTTATTATACCCTACTCCCACAGCAGAATGCCTCTCTCTCAAATCTACCACACTTTATCCTCCCCAGCTGTCCTAAAGGAAAATTAACTGCATCATATTCTACCACGGTATTTATCAGAGAAGCGAGGGAGGAAGAAATCTTGTTGCTGAGAGGAGATACTACTATAACAGGAGCAGGGAGGAGAAGGTATCAACAGTGCACTAAGCAGTTACTATTTTGGGCTGATCTTTCTTCTCCTGAGGCATCTCAGTTCCCACCAGGATTTTTGATTCTTTGTACAGCAAAACAACACTTCAGTGTGGTTTTCCAGCATCATTTACCAGATCCCCTCAAGAGTCTGGACGTTAACTTTACTTTTAGTGACTAATCTACTTTCACAAGAACAGCAAATATTAAATTATTTAATATTTTCAATGCACAAAGCTATCATATAAATAAACACTACATGCACGTGGGTTAACAGAAGGTTAATATTTGCGTTAAACATGCGCATTATACTACTTCAAAGGTTGCGATAAGATCATAATGCATAAATGTAATGAGAATTTGCCTTCCCCCATACTGTAGCAGAAATGACTGTAGAACAGCCCAAGCAAGGGAAACTGTTAGATGCACAATATCTGAGCAGCAAACCTCACTCTCTGAGATGCAACGCTCTGCCTGTCACCTCTTCCTCCCCTACCCATCCTCACGCTGTAACACTTGCTGGCAGTTTATGTGCTGTATGTCTAACATGCATTTTTTTTTTTTTCCCCCCAGTTACTGTAAATTCAGTTTTCATTTGCGTAATTTACTTAACTTTTCAAAACACAATCAAGCTGCAGGCCAGGCCGCACTGCTGTGTAGCCCCTGCATTCTGCCTCAGCCTGGGCACACCAGGGCAAAGTAAAAACCATAAGAAATGCACAAAACCCTGCTGTATCAAACTCTATGCTCTTTAACAAGCACCCCTTTAATTATTGGCCTGTTAGAGATGCAAGCAAGTAGCTTGCCTCAAGTTCTTTTCATAAACCAAGGAGTGTCAGAGTTGCATCCAAGAGAGGCCACCAAGATGCGCCCCTGATCCTGGAACATAAAACAGAAGAAGTGAAGATAAGACCTATCACATCATGCCCAACTAGAGCCTCAAACAAGATCAGAATTTACTTGGTCAATGCTTAGAAAACTGCTATAATCTCAGAGTTCAATAAATCTTGCTTGGAAAGTACTTTTTATATTCTACCTGAAGTTACTTCATCTGATCAATAAGACATGTATAACAGGCATGTAACAGTTTTCCCCACTTCACTGGATAAGCAAGCAAAATTGTTTTGCACAAAATATGGAAATCCATGAAGTTGTTAAAAACCCCAACAAACAAATAATGAGCAGATGAACAGGCACACTAAACAAAACAGCTTACTAGTATTACAAATGTTCCTAACAAAATGAAAGTGGCGTTAAAAACATTAAACTGAAAAGCAGTACACACCTTTAATGCAATTTTGACTCTTTTAATCTTTTTGACCTTTTCAACTGTCTTTGTGCCGAAAACGTAGAAAGCAGATTGAAAGAATGTTAGTATGACAGCTGACAAGATCACCAGCAGATTAATAACAGTCAGAATATTCAACTTGAAAGTAAAGAATCAGACTCAAAATTTTCTCTAGAACTTCCATCGAATAGCTAGGTTTTGTCAACCCAGATGCAATTCTATTGCCTAGTTTGATTATATCAAGATAACACCAAAATCAAGCACTTTACATATATTTTTTTTAAAAAAAAGTGTTCGGCCTGCTACTTACAGGATTGAGTGTATTGCATTGGTCTATTGGATTCTTGTAATCAGTCTTCAGTTCATCAAAAGCTATAATCTAGAAAAAAAAAACAAAAAACAAAAAACAAAAAACAAAAAACGAAACAGTTGTGATCTTCAGTCCAGGAGCAACAAGGTATTTTATCCATAAAAAGTAACATTTTCAGCACAGAGCCATAGCCTTCAACTGCTGCCATTCTATTCAGGAACATAATTTCTCCTGAATTAGTTCTAATGTCATAAACCCACAGGTAACACACATTTGAAATAGGTTATACAAACAAGAAAGCAGAAGATGCCTCAGGCATTCAAAGACCTCTGCCTCTGCCTACATTCTACCTTTTTACCTCCCCACCAAAGTCCCTTTCAGCAGTCTTTAACCCCCCATGTCACAAGTGACCCTCTTGGCTGCCAGCAGGAACCTGACACAGGGTTCATCAAAGAAAGAAAAGCAATAGCAATCTTAAAAGCAGACAAATTTTTGGGTTCATTGTCAGAGTAACTGGTGACCCAGCATAAAAGTCCAAAAGATGCATCCATTAAAAAAAAACAAACAGGTACACTCGATCTTTGCGTGCCATAAAAATCAGACAAAGATGCAGCCTGAAATACAGAAAAAGCCACGTCTACAGAACAAATGTCATGCCAAACATTTAAGAAGTCTTAAGACAGACCAATTTATTATCAGCATGAGATTCATCTATGTTCAGTATAAGCCCCAATATGCTTAAAGGACAGGGCTGATACTACAACAGAATGATTTTTAAGGATAACTATGAAGCTTGAAACAGCGCCAAGAACATCCTTCTCACATCCTCGCCTGGAACCGCATCTCACAGCTCATCCAAGGTAGGCTCCTACTTGGCTAGCTCTCCCTGGGTCAGGCTCAAGACAGAAAACTCCCCAAAAAAAGATTAATAATTTAAAAACCCTCAAAAATTAAGTCTCGATATAAAGGATGAAAACAATGTGTCACTTATTTAACGAAATAATGAGTTAAGAAGCCAAACTGACTTCAGACTAAAACATTTTTCAACCGCTATTTTAAAAAGGCTGCACTCGTTTAGAACACCGCTTAATGAAATGGGGGGGGGATCTTAAATCAGCACTTGAAAATCCGTTTTATTCACAGACAAGCGCTGCCAGATTTCCACGCCTGCAAGATAACAAAGGCGGGGACCAGATGCGATCCCTCCGCTCCCACCGCAGCTCCAGGAAGGGGGGCTGTGCGCTGGGGGCTGTTTCGGGGGGGCCTCCCGGCGCCCCCCGCCCTCACACCGGGGCTTTGGGGGGAGTCTCATCGGAGCCCCCCGCCTCGGTCCAGCCGCCCGGGTGCGGTTTCGCAGTCGGTTTCAGTCCTGCCTCGGTTGTGCCTCTTCCCCCCTCCCCCCCAAAAAAAAACAAAAAAAAACAAAAAACCGCGGTCTTCCCGCTTTCTTTCTGGCAGGGGTTCCCGGCAGCGGCGGCGGGACAGGGTGAGGGTGAGGGCCAGCCGCGCCGGCACTCGCACAAAGAGCGGGGAAAACGCGCCCTGCCGCACGAGCAGCCGTGAGGGCCGCCCTTCCTGGCGGCGGGCGGACAGGCAGACAGGCGGACGGACAGACGGCCACCCCCCGCGGCCTACGCCTCCCTCCGCGGGGCAGAGCGGCGGCCCCACAGCAGAGCGGTAGCGGCGCGACCCGCTCTCGTCCCGGGCGGCGGGACACGCACCCACACCCGGACTCACGTGCCAGATGGCGAAGAAGATGAGGGCGGCGGTGAGCAGCAGCGCCAGCATGTAGCAGAAGGCGGCGAAGGTGAAGGCCATGGCGGCGGGGCCGAGCGAGCCGCGGCGGGGCCGGCAGCGGCGCGGGGGATGCCGGGAGCCAGCACCCACAGCCCCGCCCCCACGGAGCGCCCCCTGCCGGCGCCCGCCGGCACCGCCGCCAGCCCGCCATTTTCCTCCTGGGGTGGGTTGTGGGTTTGGTTTTTGGTTTTTTGGTTCTTTTTTTTGTTTGTTTGTTTGTTTGTTTGTTTTTTTGTTTTTGTTTTGTTTTGTTTTGTTTTGTTTGTTTGGTTTTTGGTTTTTTGGTTTGTTTTTTTTTTTTGTTTTGGTGTGGTTTTTTTTTTATTATTATTTATTTTATTTTTATTTTTACACACCCGCCTTGATACCGACAGCAAAACACGCCACTCACTGCGTAGGGCCCTCCCGGGCCTGACAAATAGAGCACGCGCATACACATCCGCAACCCCAAAGAACGAGGAAACAGGTAAAAAAAAAAAAAAAAATATCAATCTGGAAATAGAATTTGACCAAAAGTTAGACAAGATATTTTTCAGGTTAAAATGTGGGAGGTGGGTGTGCGATCACAATAAATGTAGTGCCGTGCTGCAGGGGATTACCTGGTAAGTATGAGCTCTGTCTGGAGAAAAAGGTGATGGCAAATTTCCGTTAGGAAGAAATACTGGGGAAGGGTGATGCTGTGCGTGCTCCGGAGGAAGGGGTAACTGGTTTGTACAATCCCAAATCAGTACCATTTGGAGCTGGAGCCTACTCAAAGGAAACAGCACAAAAACATATCAAGAGGAGAACATCATGTATTTTCCTTCCACAGGGTCATATAAAAGTTGTTTCAGTTTTAAGCAGTGATATCTTGCAATAAAGCAAAGGCTGGGTAGTATTTCTGCAATCATTTCCTCCAGATGAGCAGTGTAAGTAGTGATTTCCATAAAACTAACAGCTGCCAAATAGTAAACAATGTTTTCCACTGATACCTGCCAGAAAGCTTTACACACAATTAATTGTCACAGTGAGGGATTAGCAGAAGCTTTATTTTCCTCACCAAAATAAAAGGGAAAACTGTAGCAAATGAGCTATCTCTAGGAAGTCAGTTGTAGCGAACATAAAGTTGATCTTTCAGTATAAAATCACTTATCCACAAACTTGATGCTTCATTAGGCCTTATTTATTAGCACACTTTATTTCTTCCTTCAAGTAGCCTCAAGCCACACATACACACTTACTCCCAGGGCCGTTTGACTGCTGGAAGACCTGATGTTCAGTGTTCAAACTCCATATTTCAGGCTTTTCCTAAAGCCATCCAGGAGGGTCATTTGCATCAGAAAAGCTGTGGGTGGTAAAGAAACAGAGGATGCTGTGCAGAGATGCTGTTATACCTTGGGACTGGCGAATGCTGGTCTTTGACCACAATATGGAAACAGAAGTTTGATCCATTTGAGGTAGATCCTTGCTTAAAAAGGCACCCAGATGTAGTGACCATCACCGCTTTAACTGTTACGCCACCCTGGCGAGGCAAAGCCCTACAAAACTACAGTTGCTTTGGCACTAAGTCTATTAATGTAATTAATGAAGGAGATCTGGCTCCCCACAAGACCCACTACAAGCCACCAGGCTCACCTATAACACAGGTATTTGTACTTCAAGACACATTAATATGCACTAAGGACTCTACACAGGATTATGCCAAGCTGCTGTTCATAAAAAAAAAAAAAGGTATATCAGCCATGTACTTGCATTTGCAATTAGTACTGCTTCTGCCTCAAGGAAGGCAATGTTTTATTACCTCTGATACTTGCATACTATTAATCTGCAATTATCTTGTCAGGAAAAGTGGAAGGCAGCTGTAATCTTGTACAACAAAGATTTGTTCATTGAAGGATTTCTTGTATTATAGATTGTATTTTTAAGATAACACAAAAGGAAATTAAAAGCAGATTCTGTAGAACAGGGTCTAATCAATTCTCATTTCATGCATTTATTTGGGATCTCAAATCAAACAACTGATCATCTTCTCAGAATTTTCTCCAATTAAACTTTGTAAACAGTGTGAGGAAGACACAGTGGCAATCTGGAGATGGCCTACAGCTTTTAATGCATTTTCTCTTTAGCCTGGACTCACTGAGTTTAATCCCGATTGGAATCCCAAGGGAAAATGTCAGTGTCTGTCCACTTCATCTTAAATCCCTCTCAGGTATTTGTCCTTATTGGAAAACAGTCATATAATCAGTCATAATTCTGCATGTTACAGTCTCGTCATAAGGAAGATTTAGCTGAAGAAAGACGACTGGCAGGTCATGACAACAGTGCTGTGACAAGAGAGCTGTGAGGGAAGATGACAGAGCAATTTCTCTGAATTGCCATGGTAGAAATGCATGGCTTAACCACATTCTCCAACATTAAAAATAATAACCCTGGAAAAATAGTCATTTCAGTTATAAATATCAGGGAAGAATCTCATACTATTGAACTCAGTAATAAAAATCCTCCTGACTTCAATGGAGACTTTGCTTACTGGGTGTGCTGGGTTTGTGTGTGGCAGGGGTTTTGGTAGCAGTGGTGGCCCCTGTGAGAAGCTTCTTGAAGCTCTGCCGGCTCCAAGTCAACCCGTCTCTGGCCAGGGCTGAGCCAATTAGTGAGAGTGGCCACGCCTCAGCCAATTAGTGAGAGTGGCCACGCCTCTGTGATAATGGATTTAAGATAGGGAACCTGAGAGGGGGAGTGGGAATTGTGAGGAGTTATGAGAAGGACACCTATGCGAACACTGAGGTCAGTGAAAGGAAGGAGGAATGGGGGAAGGTGTGCCAGAGCAGAGACTCCCCCCCCCCTGCAGCTCATGGTCAGAGGGCAGGGCCACCCTCTGCCACCCATGGAAGCCTGTGGTGGAGCAGACGCCCACATGCAGCTTGTGGAGGATCCTGTGCCAGAGCAGGCATTTGCGCCCAAAGGAGGCCGGGACTCTGAGGGGAGAAGCAGCCCCCACTATTGTAGTTCAGTGCTGGGAGAACTGGAACACACAGGAGTGACCCGCACTGGAGCAGCTCGGGAAACGATGTGGCCCGTGGGAGGGACTCGTGCCAGAGAAAGTTCATGGAGGACTGTCTTCTGTGAGAGGGACCCCACGCTGAAGCAGGGGAAGAGTTCAAGGAGTACTCCCCCTCAGGAGGAAGGAGCACTGGAAACAACATGTGAGGGACTGATCCCAACCCCCATCCCCTGCCCCACTGCAGCACCGCTGGTGGGTAACAGTAAGAGAAATCAGGAACAAAGCTGAGCCTGGGAAGAAGGGAGGAAGGTGTTTTTAAGATATGGTTAATGCTTCTCACTGTCCTACGCTGTTAAGTGGTGGTAGTGTTAGTGTTTGAATTAAATAGCTTTTTTCTTCCCCTAGTGAGTCTGCCTTTTGCCCATGAGCATAACAGGTTAGTCACCCCTACCTGTCCTTATCTTGATTCCTGAGCCTTTTGATTCATTTCCTCCTTCCCATCCCTGCCCTCTGAGGTCAAACCATGACACTGGGTTTTCAGGAGAGGAAAATCAGAATATTTATCTACAATTTAGAAGAGACTCTCCAAGTACCTCTAATGTAGTCTAGCAGAATTCACCTTTCAGCACACCTTTTAAATACATGTCAAAAGCAGCAAGAGCACACAATCTCCCCACCCACCTACCTCATTTAGGCACTAATTTACAGACAGCAGGATGGAGGATGTTGGTTCACTGCTCAATCTTAGATCAGCAGGATGAAAAGATCCCTAGACTTACAAGTGTACCAACTTCCTTTCCGACCACGCAAATATCTTTTCCTGCTGCACTAATTAACTCACCTTTAGAATCCCTGTTTAGACTCTACCATTATGTATGTGACCACATAAACAAATTAACGATATAATTCCTTTGCACATTAAAGTAAGTCTCAAGAGAAAGAAGAATCATTTAAAGCTCAATTTCAAAACACAGACGCTGCCAGGCATCTCACCACATCTCATCATGGAATCCACTCATGGCCTCAATCCTTCCAACATTTACTGTCAGATGGCAACAGTTTTCTTTTAGTAGGCTAAATACTGAATACTCAACCTGCCCTTTTAATAATAGGGTTTGTTTTTCTCTTGCTGTGTAGAGCTCCTGTTAATGGCTATCCGTACAATTCTGAGCTCATGGCATAATACCAGTGTGTGTGATCAGTCAAAGGGACCAATAATTATTTTTTCAAGACCTATTTCACAATGTGTTTCAGAATTCAGCCGCTCATTAACAAAGAAGGGGATTTTCCAAAACATTCTGTGGTAGCTCAACTGTAGCAGTGATCACTCCAAAAATGTCACCCTTAGTCCTTAGCTCTTCAAAGAATAAATTCTGATCCAAATAGAAACCAGTGCAGTGATAACACCTGGAATAGACAGAAGCTGAAACCATAGTGGTACCATTTTAAAATGGTGTTACATCTGGTACCAAATGACAACATCTAAAAAAGTCTCCCTTGTTCATTATTTCACTGCTATATTTTTAGTAGAAACCACATCGCTGCTAGTTATGGTGGGAAGATTGCATCAAGGTAGAGTCAGGGCAGCTACTCACTGAGACAAATGAGGCATTCACTCTTCCACCAGCCGTAACATTATTGTTTCTGCCCAAAAGGAGGGAAGAGACATGCTACTTCTGCTTTGTATCAAAAAAATAAACAAAACAACAAATTCACAGGGCTTGGTGTCTTGCCAACAGCCAGAAGACCCAGTCCAGATATCACAACCTCATGCTTCCCCCCCAGCAGCTCCTGAAGTCCCCAGATCTGCAGCACGTTTGAAAATTTGGAAAGGAGAATGAAGAGTCAGCATGGGACGCAGGAGATTTTGGTCTCCCTTTTCTTGCACAGACATCCCACGTGGCCTTGAGTATGGCACCTTCAGGCCCAATGTGTATTTACACACTTAAATCACACTAAGTAGGATTTCAAAAGCATTCATCTACATCTAAATGCCTTTACGAATCCTGCTTTTGATCTCTTCAGCTATACCCGTATTATCAAATCAGCTCAAGGCTCTACCAGTGCTAGAAATCCACCCCCGTGGTTGTTCTTAAGATTTA